TTGTGTGTGCTGTGATAAAGTGGCAATAACTATGATGTTGATGATGGCATGACAACGTTGAACTCAATTTAAGTAAATCATTTCCGTTTTACAGGATAATTAAATGATAAAATGTTGCTAAGTGCAAAAATTGCAATAATTTTAAAAATAGAGAAAATGTAAGAAAGTTAAAGAATATAATATTTTATAATTATAAACATTAAAAACATCCAAATTATTATTTTTGTATGTGTATTTAAACTTATTCATTGCCTATAATTAACGAATTAATGATTATTTCCCTAATTTTCTAACCAATTACCAAATATCATTTCAATGTCTATAATAATTTTAAAATTGAAGTAATACAATAACACACAAAAAAAAACACACTATTAATTTCTGCTGGTATTTACTGCACTTCCCAGCCGATGCCGGCTGTCATCACAATGACTTACTAAATACCACCGGCATACGTCGTCAACAAATCTTAATAAAAAACATTTAAATGGTCAAACAAATTGTGCCACTATAAATTTCTATTGTCTCTATGCAAGATGTGCTAGGGTTTCATGTGCTGCAGTTTAAAATCTGCAGCAGCAACAAACAAGTGGTTCCATAAATAACTAAATAAAAATAAACAATATTAAAAAAGAAACACATACTGTCACTGCTAACTAAGAGGTCTATGTAAAAAAAAAATATTTGTAAGCTCGCTGTTAGTATGTTAGTGGCTGCAACCGCAGCATCAGTGTTTAAGAATAAATTTATTTTATTTTTTTTTTTTTTTTATATTATTAGCGCTGCCTAGCTACTTTTACTGTGGATTTTTTTCAACTTCTTGTTGTTTATTTTTTTGTTTCTTACACTTTCGTTGCGCTCTATTGACCTCAATTTGGCCGTGTTGAGAATTTGTTAACATATAAAGATATAAACATCATGACTTGTTAGGAAATTTAGGAAAAACTCTATAACAAGATTTATTTACTTAATTTATTATGAATGTTGTAAAAACCATTAATGTTTGGTGTTTTGATGTTTCGTTTGAAGTCTTTAAGAATTATAAAAAGCTATAAATTTTAAAATTTTGAAAAATTTAAAATAGATTTAGAGCATTTAAGAAAAAATTTATTGAAGGAATTATTTTTTGAAAATATTAACATTAGATAATTATGAAATTAACAAGATAGCTGCATAGAGTAATACATGGTCTCGATTATAGAGTAATCTGAGTCTCTGCTATAGAAATGTCTATACTCTTGACTATGGAAGTCTATAGTCTTGACTATAGAATAGTCCATAGTCTTGACTATAGAATAGTCTATAGTCTTGACTATAGAATAGTCTATAATCGCGACTATAGAATAGTCTTAAGTCTCGACTATAGAATAATCTATATTCTCGACTATAGATTAGTCTATAGTATCGACTATAAAGTAGTTTATAGTCTCGACTAGAGAGTAGTCTATTGTCTCGATTATAGAGTATCCATAGTCTCGACTATAATGTAGTTTATGGTCTCTACTATAGAATAGTTTATAGTCTCGATTATATCGTAGTCTATAGTTACGGCTATAGAATAGTCCATAGTCTTCACTATAAAGTAGTTGAAGATATAATCTCTACTATAGAGTAGTTTATAATATAGATTACATCGTAGTATATGGTCTCGACTATAGAATAGTCTATAGTCTCGACTATAGAATAGTATATAGTCCCGACTATCGAGTTGTCTCGACTATAGAGTAGTCTATAATATCGACTATAGCGTGGTCCATAATCTCGACTATGGGGTAGTCCATAATCTCGACTATAGAGTTGTCCATAGCTTCGGCTATAGAATAATCCATAGTCCGACTATAGAGTAGTTTATAGTCTCGATTATATCTATAGTATAGTCAAAAGTCTTGAAATTTAGTATATAGTATAATACAAAAGGTTCTTTAAAAGCTCATATTTAAATGTACTAGAATTGTTTCAATTAATTAAATTAATTATTTAAAAAGAAAAATATAAAAAAATAAGTTTTGTTTATTATTAGAACTTCAGAAAGATTAAACCGCAAAAAACAGTCATCAGGTAGGTACATTGCAGAAATTTTTTAACAGACATGAGGAGCATGTTTAAATAAATTAAAAGTTTTAAACAAATTGTATATTTTTAAAAACTAGCTTCTACAAAAAACTAGTTTTTGTTAAACGGTATTCTAATTAACATAATATAATTTTTAAATTTCACAAAAAACAAAAAAGCAAAGTATTGTTTACAAATTTTGTTAAATAAAACCAGAAATAAATTGGTAGAGGTTCGGAAGTCGGGTCGAACATTTAAAAAAATGTATAATGAATTGCTCTAACATAATGTAATATTTAAAAAAAAATACAAGAATTTTTAAAAATTACCTAATAAATACCTATATAAAGAAAGAAGAGTTGCCGGCAAAGATTTTTTCTAATTGGAAAGTTAAAATCCAGCAAAGATTTTTAAATATTGAAGTGATATCAATAAAATTTACATTGTTTATAAGATATTTTCTCGATACATATTCCAAAAGATCATTACTGTGAAATTGTAAATAAAAAAAACGTTGAAAGAGTGAAATTCAAAAAGTGCAACGATAAAAACTAAAAAAATATAAATAAAATGAGGGGTCACAACGAGTGCAACAACAACAACATAATGAGTTAGTGACACACACTAACTCGGTATATAGGAGAATAAAGAAAAAAAAACAACAACAAACAAACATTACTCACTCGTATAGAGAAAGAAAAAGTAAATAAATGGATACACAAGGATCAGATATGGAAAATTGAAATTTTTTAAATGTAAATAAATTAAAAAAAATAAAGTAGATAGTACTTTTTTAGGATTAAAAGTACTTACTAAATTATTAACTAGAACATAGACTAGTCTACAGATTATTATGTGGACTATTGACTATGTAGTATATTGATTGATATTTTGACAGGTTTATGCACTTTATTGGGAAGTGAATAATCCGCAGACTAGGTATATGGACAATTAACTATTTACTATTTTATTAAATGGTCGATTGACAGGCCTATGAATAATTTTATTGACTACTGTAAAGAGTAAACTACGTACTATGAATTGAATATTTTATAGTCAATAGACTATTTGAAATAATAGTAAATAGACTATTTGATAGAATACAATACAGAATAGACAATACAGACTAGCCCATAGACTAATATATAGTCTATTTCGTAGACTTTGCTATGGAATAGTCTATTAGGTGGTATATTGGCTATTCTGCGGATTAGACGATTTACTAGATAATGGACTGGTCTATGGACTATTATATTGATTAATCTATAGAGTACTTTATGGTCTAGTATGTTGTACAATCTTTTAGTCTTTTGACTAGTCTATTAGCTAATCGATTAATTAATCTGTGGACTACGAAGCAATGCTTGACTAGACTTTGAACTAGTTTATTGACAATTCTATGTAATAGACTAATGAGTAGTCTATTGACTATATTTAAGAGTAAACTATGGACTCGACTCTGTATAGTATATTGAATATTCTATATTCATTAGAAGCGTCATTAGGATCTTAAACAGAATACTAAATAGATTATTAAATATAATGGACAAACTGTTCAGTAAAAAGGTCTATATATTATTCGACTGAATAGTCAATAAACCATTCAATAGTCTAGTACACAGACTAGAAATTAGACTAGTCCGTAGACTAGTAATCGATTCTATTGACTAGCCTATGGACGAGTATATTGGCCAGTCTGTCAATTCAACAATTGTCTACACTATGGATTAGTATATGGACTGGTCTTAGTACATTTCTATTGATTAGTCTATAGAGTCTATAGTATAGACTATTATTTATCCAGTCTTTGAATTAGTCATTTGACTTGCCTATTAATTAGTCTATATATTAACTAGTCTAGAAACTGGGAAGTAAAACTTGGTAATATCAATAAAAAGCATTGAATATATCGTGACTGTTCTGAGATATTTTTCACCGTCTAAAAGTTTAAAATAAAGTAATTTTCCATCCCTGGCAAGGATTAAACACAGTAATCGCACACACTAAAATAAAAGAAAACAAAACAAAGGTGGAGGAGGAGGTAAAACAAAATAAAAGTTAAAAAAAGTAAACAGGAAAAATAAAAGCCAAAACGCAGCATACACACTAAATATTTGTAAGCAACTTGACAAAACGAAGACACAAATTGCAGTTAATAAAATTAAAATGAAATTTCTTCTTTAATTAAAAGTTAACCTTTTTTTAATTAACTAAAGTTTAAATAAAAAACAAAATCAGTTTCCTTTTAATTTTTGTTAACAAAGAAACAAAAAACTTACCATTCAAATCCTTTGTTAACTGGGAACGTGTCGACATTTTGGAGCCGTTTTATTTTTCGTCTTTCTTCGTTTCTTCAAAGGGGAAAGTCTCGTTGACAATAATGATGTTGATGACGATGATAATGAAGATGATGTTAAATACACTTTTATTATTATTATTGTTATTAAGTATATATATATAAGTATATAAGTATATATATAGTGATAATGAAGTTTTGCTCTTGTTATTGGTTTGTTTTTTTTGGTGTCTTCTTTTTTCTTTATTTTCTTGTTTAATTTTTTAAGGTTAAAAAACAGGATTTTTCGTATTTTTTTTTTTTTTGTTGGTTAAGAAGATGTAAAAGAAACTTGGTTAACTCTTTCAGCTAACGAAGCTATAACAGACAGCTTCTTTACTTTTTATATATTTCCTTATTTGAGCTGTTGTAACGAATTAAAATCGTTTTTCAATGCAGCCGCCGCCCGCCTGAATAATACATAAAGTACAAGAATCAAACAGCAGCAGACACTTTTTTCTTCTACAAAAAACTTGTATATATCTTAGCAAGGCTACCGATAACTTCATTCTGTCAGCTAAACATTTTCACTTATTTTCTTCTATTTTTCGGTAATTTTTATTTTAAATTTTAATGAATTTTTAATTGACCAAATTTGATTTGTAAACTGATTCTTCTGTAAATTTTGTTGAAATATATCCAACTTTGTTAAATTTTCCGCAATTATTTCCACCCTCTTTCTTTACGCTCTCACTCTCTTCTTCTTTCTATACCATATTTATTTTTTGTGATTTGCAAAATAGAACAAATGGAAAAAAAGAGAGTTGAAAAAGTCGAAAAAACAGAAGAAAATTAAAAAACACAAAATTTTTTACACTTGAGCAGCAAATTAAGAATTATAAACAGCATTTTATTAATGAAATTATAAATATGGGTGTTTGGTAACACCCATTAATTAGTGAATTTTAAATCGTATTAAATATTAATGTAAATTTCACTTTTTTCTTTGCAAAATTAACACAATTTCTAGTATTGTAAATAACTTTTCATCCGCCTTATTTATTTCAAGAAAAATTCGCGACGCCAGTTGAGAAACGACTGAAAGTGAACAGGAGAGCGAAATGTCAGTTTTGTTTAATAACAGTGTTGGTAATTTAGAGATTTCTTCTTTTGCATATCTTGCGATTTTTAGTTATTTATGAAGAAGAAACACAGTAAGTTGAAATTTTATATATAAAAAATTGCAGAAATTTGAATAATTCTTAAATAAAATAATTATTTATGATATTTAACACTATTTTTTGTTAAAGTATTTATATATTTAACTGTTTATGGAGTTATGCAGTGAATAAAGTCTGTGATGGAAAGCAACATCTTAGCGTTTTTAGTTATAGAAAGTTAACAATACTCTTTAACTAGAATTTTATTGAATTGTTGCCAGATGTTCAAAAATAAAAAGTGTTGCTTCATAGCATATATCGAAATATAATATGTTATTTTAAATCAAACGTTTATTACCTTAATATTAAATATTTTTATTATTAGATTTAAAGGTCTTATAAAGAATATATGTTTATATTCTAAAAAAGGGTTCTATAGTTAATAGCAAAAATCTACTTTTCCAATTTTTTAATTATTGCAAATTTATGTAAAAAAAATTTTCGACTTTTTACAATTTCGAAATTTTTGAACTTTTTATGTCGACTTTTCCCGAATTTTTGATATCTTTTTCAATGTTTATATTAAAATATAATGTTTCTAGGTTTACGAGTATAAAAAAAGTTCGCTTTTAGAATGAGTGCCAAAAAAAAAAAAATAGAAACATTATGGAAATGATTTTTTAGTCTTAAATTCTAGACTGATTTTAGAATTTTGAATACATTTCAAATTTTATTTTCTATAGATATGCGTAAGCATATTTTTTAAATAACCGAAATATGACCAAAATTCCGAATTTTTAATATATGGACAATTTAATGTCAAGTGACTCAACTCAAAAAATCGATTTGGATGAAATTTGCATAAAGGTTTGTACTATTGGATCGTAAGCCAGACACAAATTTTCATCTCTATCGGTCAAGAACTGCCGGAGTTAGAGGGAGGCAAAATTAGACATTTTCGTCATACAGGGTTTTTTTAAGTGCGTGTAACTTTGCACCTAGCGAAAAATTTCCAAAGCAGTTAAAATAGCATTTTTTTCTCAAAATGGGCCCTTTTTGCTCAGAAAAAAGCTTATACAATTTCTTTTAAAGGCGTTATAGTGACATAATGGGATGCGAGTGGAACACATATCTATACAAAAATTTTTTAACTCAAGAAGCATTTCATTTTCGCCTTTTTTTCAAATATACGTTTTTTTTTTTACTCAAAAGAAAGCTTAGACCATTTCTTTTAAGAGCTTTCTTAAAGGGAGGTTACTTTGACCACTTCTAACCCCGGTAGTTCTTTACCAACAGAGCTGAAAGGTGGTGTCTGGCCTACTATCCAACCTTTGTGCAAATTTCATCCAAATCGAAAGGTATCGATTCTAAAAATTGGGTTACTTGACACGAAATTGTCCATATGTTTTATGGACCATATGTTCAATAAATGGAATTTCAGTTTTGTAAAAGTTATAAATTTTAAATAATAAAATATATTCTGAATAAAACTTCTCCGGAAATTGTTTTCCTACTTCATGGTTTAGAAATTCTCAGGAAATTGTTATTCAGAATATGACTATTTGGCAATAATAATAAATTAATGAAAAACTATTTCAATTTAATTTGAATTTAACGTTATATTTGTTTCATACCATCTGGCAACATATATTGTGATTACTTTACTTTTCTAATACAACTATGCTCGTTAGAAATACAATGCTGCTTTTCCGTTCTCTTTATTCTGTTTTGATTACAATTCTAATAAAAAGGCTCTCTTCTGACAAACTCTTTTTCAGTTTATATTTACTCAACTGGTAGAAAAGTCTTATAAAAACATTTTAAATAACTGAGGAAAATAATGGCAAATTTTAGCGCTTTAAATAGATTTATTAAATTGCAAAAGTTTTTAAATAATAAAAGTAAGTTTTATAAATAGCAAAGTTATTCAACTATAATTTAAATAACAAATATAAGTTATGGAATTATTTCACCATGTTCTAAGAAGAAAAAGATTATGATGAATTTTTTTGACAATTCTATTACGAAAGTTTTTTTGGTGCCACTTTTTTTTAATAATTAAGAGAGCGAAAAGTGTGTGTGTGTATGAATTTTGCATTGACATTTCACATTAAAGAAATATTTTACATCGGACTATTAAAATTTAGCTGTTTTTGGTGTTTATTTTAAAAATTATTACTTAAAATTATTAAAAAACTAATAATTAACATAAAAACCAGTAATTGGACTAGTTTTTGAAGTGTTTTAACCGGGGTGTTAATAAAATTTCAACAAAAATCATGAATGATTTAATGAAGCCGGCTGCTGCAGACCAGGGTGCTGAGCATTTGATGGCTTTAATTAAACAGCTGATTAAGGAGCAGCAATATGAGGGAGTTGCCTTGTTATTTACCAGCAACAAGGAAGCTGAACGCAATTTACAATATTTACCCAAAATAGCTATGGATCTGTATCATGACATTTGTTTGGAAAACCTCAATGACAAAGTTAACCAAGAGAATGCCTCCTTGTACGGTTGTGCTGAAGAGCTGCTTAAAATTGTAGCAACCCATGCACCGGCCGAAGAGTTGTTACTCGAACTTTTGGAATTGATAGAGGAAAGTAAAAGTGAATTTGTATTTACCTCATCCTTAAGAGCTCTTCAAATAGTTTTGCTTAGACAAGGAGATGAAAAACCACGTGCCTTGGAATGGAGCCTGAATTCAATATACAATCGCTTAGAAGACTTACCCGTACCAGACTATTTAAAAGAGGGTTATGATTCTAAACAACAAGCACTCTTGGAACAAGATGATCAAATACAAAGCCTTTTAATGCACTACATTACTGTGGGTCTCTTCTATGATCCTCTCATAAATGCTATTTGCTCTAAACCTAGAGATGAAAAGGAACTATTTCGTCCTGTGGGCATAACTAGGCGCAATGTTTTGTGCTGTTTTCTAATAGAACTTTTGGGAAAACCTCTGTCTCTTTTGGATCTAACAAATGATGAGGAAAGAAAAACCAACACCTATTCCCTGCAATGCGCCAAGTCTTTAACGCAGGCTGCCACCAAATGTATAACAGATCCTCTGTTTCTGTTGTCATTTGTAGAGTCAAGGGCACGTTTCAAAAGGCGTGAGGATGAGGCCAAAGGAGTACACGAAATGAGTTCGTGCAATATTTTTCTTATCAATGAAAAACTGCCTTTAGACTGTTTGGCCATCTACTACTATATGGTATTTGTAGAAGGTATAACTAAAGCAAGCATACCTTTAGTTTACCACCCATTATACATTCTGGAAACGTGTTTATATTTAATTTATGAATTACTACTGCAGGATGAACCCGCTTTACATGAAAAATCTCTACTACTCTTGCATAAACTTCTAGAGCAATTAAAAGGTCATGTAATTGATGTCTCTTCGTTAGATTTGGAAATACATAAATCATTTTGTACCACACTTTGCAATATAGTGGGTTACTCTTCTCATACCCAGGTGCGTCAATTGGGTTTAAAAGTTTTACGTCAGTATATATTAAGCTTTGTAGATGAAGCCAAATACCTAATACTCAAAAATCTAATGAAATCAGTAAATCATCATGGCCTGGTGGGTTATTTAGCTACTCTCTATAAAGACTTAGTAGCAGAAGCACTGAAAACTTCCTCTCCTCTGCCGGCTTCCTATAGTGGCAATGATTTTCGTTATATTTTCCTTAATAATATATGCCATTTGCCTCAGGGTGTTGAGACAGATCTGTTGGAGAACTCTGATCGAATTGTGGCCTCGCTTAATACTCTACGCTTTATTGCTCTTAAAGATGTGGAAAATCGTACTGGTTTTTGGAATTTTGCCAAGGAAATTGAAGAGTCCTATTTAAATGCTTTACGGAAAGCTTTGGACTTGTCGGTGGCTCATTTTAAGGCTGAATTGCATAATGTTGAAACGGGCGTAGAACGTCCTTATATGGATCAATTGAACCTATTGGATATTGATGTGCAGAATGATAAACAATCAAAATTGGATCTGCAATTTGATAAAGAAAAACAAATTAGTATTCTTAATCAAAATCTTTGTACTTTTGATCTAATGCGTAGTCTTTTGTCGCGAGCTTGTGAGTGTTTGGAAAGTGCTCCTCGGGCTGTTAAAAGTAAAATGGATGTAAAGCATGTTAAAGATGTTGAAAATGTTTAAATAAAGAGAAAGTGAAAGAAAATGTATTGGTGTTTTTCTTCTTTAGCGAAATTAAGAATTTTGGTTCTAATTTTGTTCTAACTTCAGTTCTAGTTATATTCTACTTTAGTTCTAGTTCAGTTTTAGTTCAGTTCTAGTTCTAGTTCAGTTCTAGTTCGGTTCTGTTCAGTTCTAGTTCAGTTCAGTTCTAGTTTAGTTCTAGTTCAGTTCTAGTTCAGTTCTAGTTCAGTTCTAGTTCAGTTCTAGTTCAGTTCCAGTTCAGTTCTAGTTCAGTTCTAGTTCAGTTCTAGTTTAGTTTTAGTTCAGTTCTAGTTCAGTTTTAGTTCAGTTTTAGTTCAGTTCTAGTTCAGTCCAGTTCTAGTTCAGTTCTAGTTCAGTTCTAGTTCAGTTCTAGTTCGGTTCTAGTTCAGTTCTAGTTCAGTTCTAGTTCAGTTCTAGTTCAGTTCTAGTTCAGTTCTAGTTCAGTTCAGTTCTGTTCAGTTCTAGTTCAGTTCAAGTTCAGTTCTAGTTCAGTTCTAATATTGGAATTTTATAATTTGATGACAATACTTATGACTGCAACTCTAAACAATGTTTTATTTATGACTAAAACATTTTTAAATATTAAATACAAAACTTTTTTAAGTTTCTAAACAATCTATACATCTTAAGCGAATAACTTTATGAAAAATCCCAGTCACAACTGTTAATTATTTAATGAAAACAACTGCATTGCAAACGATGCGAAAGTGTTGAATAGAAATCACTAATTAACAGACATGTGTGAATGAATAGATGAAATCTAATATTGAAGATATACACACTCAAACTCGTGTTAGTATAGTACATATTTTAAAATAACAAATAATATAACCAAAATAAACCCCACTAATATATTCAACTCTATTTATGTCTAGATGTAAATCTAAGTCATCAATTTACGTGCCGGACTCTAACGACAACATCGGCAAAAAATCATCTAAATGAAAATAAAGAAAATAAACAAACTACAAAGCATTCACAGCATGTGACCTTTAAATTACAAATACCACTAGACCACCGAACATTTTGCACAAAATCAACAAAAGACTCATCGGCCGGCACAAGCATCGATGAGTTCCGGGCTAGAGAAGAGAAACGGGAAGAGGAATTCGAACAACAACAGAAAGCCCAAACGCAACAAGAGGAAGATGAGAAAAAAGCTAAACTAGATGGTGTACGTACAAAAATATTAGAGGCTGCCTTAAAGCATGTGCCCACTCTAGGTTGGACTCGTAATGCCATAGTGCAAGGTGCTGAAGAGACTGGTTATCCCAGTGTGGTGCATGGTATGTTTCCTGAGGGAGGTTTTGATTTGGTATCCTATTTCAATGGCAAATGCAATGAGGAATTGTTGAAACTTTTGCAAGAGGAGACTGATAATGGTAACAAAGAGATAAGTAATCCTTTGGAGTTTTTGGTGCGTTTCGTTAGATTACGTTTGGAAATGATAACACCCTATAAAAGTCAATGGCCACAGGCTTTGGCTCTCATTGCTCTGCCACAGAATGCCTCCACGGCGTTAGCACAAGTTCTAACGCTGGTTGATGATATTTGCTATTATTCGGGAGATCGTTCGGTAGATGTAAGTAGAAAACTTAAAAATATATTAATCATTACTAAAATGTATTTCCCTTTTAGATTGGCTGGTATACCAGACGCATTGGCTTGGCTACCATAATGAAAATGACCGAATTGTATATGATGCAAGATAATTCAACACAACATCAAAAAACTTGGGAATTTTTACAAAATCGCATGGATGAAGCGGTACAATTGCAAATGGTGTTACAACAAACCGAAAATGTTACACACAAATTCCAAAGTTCATTTAATTCTGCCTTTATTACAGTAAGTTTTCAATTTTCTAATATAAAATTGCAATAAATTTTAATTTTTTTTCTTTTTTACTTTTAGGCTCGTAATATTTTGGGTTTAAATTATAATAGACCTTAGATTTTAAGTTATTATTGAATGTTACAAACGCTTGTTTTTATTATTATTTTTTTTTTCGTTTGTTTAATAATTATTAAAAATTTAACCACAATATTTTTACATGAAATGTATATTTTTTTAAAAAAAACTTTAAGTATAATCGTTTAAAGAGTGAAGATTTTTTTGTTAATGAACTTTTTATTTTTGAATTGTAAATAAAAATGAGAAATGTTAATTAAAAGAAACGAGTGTTTTAATGTGGTTTTTAGACGAACTAGAACTAAACTAAAGTAGAACTGAATTAGAACTCAACTAGATCTGAAATTGGACTGAACTAGAACTAAATTACGACTGGACTGGAGCAAAATTGGAATTGAAATAGAAATGAATTAAAACTGGAGTAATCTAGAAGTGAACTAGAACTGAACAAGTACTGCAGTAGAACTGAAGTGAGTAGAAGTGTACAAGAACAGAACTAGAACTGAACTAGAACTGAATTATAACTGAACTAGAACTGAACTAGAACTGAACTAGAACTGAACTAGAACTGAACTAGAACTGAACTAGAACTGAACTAGAACTGAACTAGAACTGAACTAGAACTGAACTGAACTGAACTAGAACTGAACTAAAACTGAACTAGAACTGAATTAGAACTGAACTAGAACTGAATTAGAATTGAACTAGAATTGAACTGGAAGTGATCTAGAACTAAAGTAAAATTGAACTAGGACTGAACTAGAACTGAACTAGAATTGAACTGGAAGTGAACTAGAACTAAAGTAAAATTGAACTAGAACTGAACTAGAATTGAACTAGAACTGAACTAGAACTGAACTAGAACTGAACTAGAACTGAACTAGAACTGAACTAGAACTGAACTAGAACTGAACTAGAACTGAACTAGAACTGAACTAGAACTGAACTAGAACTGAACTAGAACTGAACTAGAACTGAACTAGAACTGAACTGAACTAGAACTGAACTAGAACTGAAGTAGAACTGAAATAGAACTGAACTAGAACTGAACTAGAACTGAACTAGAACTGAACTAGAACTGAACTAGAACTAGAACTAGAACTGAACTAGAACTGAACTAGAACTGAATTAGAATTGAACTAGAATTAAACTGGAAGTGAACTAGAACTGAACTAAAAATTAACTAGAATTGAACTAGAACAGAACTAAAATTAACTAGAATTGAACTAGAACTGAACTAGAATTGAACTAGAACTGAACTAGAACTGAACTAGAACTGAACTAGAACTGAAATAGAACTGAACTAGAACTGAACTAGAACTGAACTAGAACTGAACTAGAACTGAACTAGAACTGAACTAGAACTGAACTAGAACTGAACTAGAACTGAACTAGAACTGAACTAGAACTGAACTAGAACCGAACTAGATCTAACTAGAACTGAACTAGAACTGAGCTAGAACTGAACTAGAACTGAATTAGAACTGAACTAGATCTAAACTAGAACTGAACTAGAACTGAACTAGAACTGAACTAGAACTGAACTAGAACTGAACTGAACTAGAACTGAACTAGAACTGAACTAGAACTGAACTAGAACTGAACTAGAACTGAACTAGAACTGAACTAGAACTGAACTAGAACTGAACTAGAACTGAACTAGAACTGAACTAGAACTGAACTAGAACTGAACTAGAACTGAACTAGAACTGAACTAGAACTGAACTAGAACTGAACTAGAACTGAACTAGAACTGAACTAGAACTGAACTAGAACTGAACTAGAACTGAACTAGAACTGAACTAGAACTGAACTAGAACTGAACTAGAACTGAACTAGAACTGAATTAGAATTGAACTAGAAGTGAACCAGAACTGAACTAAAATAATTTTAACATTTTCATATTTTTAATTTAAATTTATTATGTAAGTAGTTAATTAATAAATAACATATATCATGCTATTAAATGGTTTTTTTGTTTTATTTATTATAAAAATATGATTTCAAATCTTATAAGTCTTATTCTTTGCTAAACGTAACCAACATAAGTAGAAACAAATATTTATATATGAAATAATGAAAAATATATAATTATAAATAACATGCAACATTGCACAAATACAATACCCATAAAAGGCTTAAGAGTAATTTGCTATTGCACTTGTTAGTGCAATTGTTCAATTGTTGCATAATAGTTTTATGTTATTTTCAAATATTTCTCTTTCATGACATTCATATGTAAAATTTAATAATTATTTAAAAAATATTTTGTAATTAAAAGAAAACACAATTATTATCAATAGTTTTTAAAAACTTTCGTTGTTCTTATATGCCTAAATAAATATGTACATACATAATAATATTAATAATAATATAAAATAAATACATCTATAGAATAATGAATAAATATTCCTATAAATAACCATAGGTCTCTGTATACATTTAACACTTAATAATAAGAAAACATATTAAAATTAATTGTCTTATATCTTAAATAGAAAACATTTAGAAAATTTAAAAATTCGTTTAACAATTTCTTTAACGGTTTTCGTTTGTTCCTTACAAATATTTTTCTTATAATAATTATTTAAAAACTTTTTAATTGACTTTATTTACAGAGGTTTTAAATACGATTCATCACTAGCTACGTTTTGTATGCTGGAAAAAGAAAAACATACCAAATTTTTAATAAAAAAAATAAGAAATTATTTTTTCATTTAATTCATTAGTATATGTAGTATTTTATCATACTAACCTCTCTTGTTTCTTACTCAAATCTTTATTCACTTCAGAATAAATTGTTGGTGCATCCTTGGTGTCATTTAAGGATGTTAACATTTCATCAAGTTTTGTATAATACCATTAAATGTTGGTCTCTTTGCAGGTTCGGCATGCCAACAGGAATACATTAAATCATAACTATTTGAAATAATATAAAAAATAACATTTATATGTTAAGAAGAATAAGAGAAGAGTGAAAATCGATAAAAAAACTGAAAGATAATAAAGTAATCTATCTATTCTATCTATCTATCTATCTATCTTATCTATCTATCTATCTATCTATCTATCTATCTATCTATCTATCTATCTATCTATCTATCTATCTATCTATCTATCTATCTATCTATCTATCTATCTATCTATCTATCTATCTATCTATCTATCTATCTATCTATCTATCTATCTATCTATCTATCTATCTATCTATCTATCTATCTATCTATCTATCTATCTATCTATCTATCTATCTATCTATCTATCTATCTATCTATCTATCTATCTATCTATCTATCTATCTATCTATCTATCTATGTATATATCTATCTATCTATCTATCTATCTATCTATCTATCTATCTATCTATCTATGTATATATCTATCTATCTATCTATGTATATATCTATCTATCTATCTATCTATCTATCTATCTATCTATCTATCTATCTATCTATCTATCTATCTATCTATCTATCTATCTATCTATCTATCTATCTATCTATCTATCTATCTATCTATCTATCTATCTATCTATCTATCTATCTATCTATCTATCTATCTATCTATCTATCTATCTATCTATCTATCTATCTATCTATCTATCTATCTATCTATCTATCTATCTATCTATCTATCTATCTATCTATCTATCTATCTATCTATCTATCTATCTATCTATCTATCTATCTATCTATCTATCTATCTATCTATCTATCTATCTATCTATCTATCTATCTATCTATCTATCTATCTATCTATCTATCTATCTATCTATCTATCTATCTATCTATCTATCTATCTATCTATCTATCTTCTATCTATCTATCTATCTATCTATCTATCTATCTATCTATCTATCTATCTATCTATCTATCTACTATCTATCTATCTATCTATCTATCTATCTATCTATCTATCTATCTATCTATCTATCTATCTATCTATCTTATCTATCTATCTATCTATCTATCTATCTATCTATCTATCTATCTATCTATCTATCTATCTATCTATCTATCTATCTATCTATCTATCTATCTATCTATCTATCTATCTATCTATCTATCTATCTATCTATCTATCTATCTATCTATCTATCTATCTATCTATCTATCTATCTATCTATCTATCTATCTATCTATCTATCTATCTATCTATCTATCTATCTATCTATCTATCTATCTATCTATCTATCTATCTATCTATCTATCTATCTATCTATCTATCTATCTATCTATCTATCTATCTATCTATCTATCTATCTATCTATCTATCTATCTATCTATCTATCTATCTATCTACTATCTATCTATTCTATCTATCTATCTATCTATCTATCTATCTATCTATCTATCTATCTATTTATCTATCTTTATCTATCTATCTATCTATCTATCTATCTATCTATCTATCTATCTATCTATCTATCTATCTATCTATCTATCTATCTATCTATCTATCTATCTATCTATCTATCTATCTATCTATCTATCTATCTATCTATCTATCTATCTATCTATCTATCTATCTATCTATCTATCTATCTATCTATCTATCTACCTACCTATTGCAGAAACTTACAATAATCTCTAGATTATACAATATATCTAAATATACTTACAATTCTTGGCCACAACCTTTCGGTTTCTCCATGCGATAACCACTTTTCAGTAAATGCAATAAGCGACTTGTTGATATTGAAGGATAAGGTGTTGCGCCCAGTGTTATAATTTCATATAACAAAATGCCATAAGACCAACTAAAAAAAATGAAAAAATATAAATAAATTGTTGTTATAGTTGCATATTTACAATTTGATTATTAAATCTATTATAGAGTTATACAAAACAATTTTGTATTCGCTTTTGGAAAAAAATAAAAAAAACTAAAATTTAATTTAACACAATAAAGCTGTTATTAAAGACAACAAAATACAGAAAGTGTAGTAAGCAGAACATTTCCTAGAAATTATCAGTCTTTAATTGTATTCTAAAACAAAATGTAGTTTTATTAGTATGCATGTGTAAATTTAGGGCTATAAATGATGACAGTATGTATTTAAAATCAGTCTTAGCAGAAATTCACAGACAGACAAAATAATTGTATAAATTTCTTAAAATTTTTTTTTACACAGTATGTATTATTTTTTTAATTTTATCTAGTGCAGACATAGGAGGCCGTGTTCAAAATATGAATTTACTTTTAAATTATTCTGAGAATAAATTTGATAGTTAATAATAGAATGGCAAATATTTGTAAATACTTACACATCACTTTGGGTGGTGTAGACTTGATGTGTCATTGATTCGAGAGCCAACCATTTAATTGGTAATTTTCCATTGCCAGTTTTTTTGTACATGTTTTCCTGATAGACATCACGACTCAAGCTGTGATATTATAAAACATATAAGGATAATATTAATAGGAAAATTTATTTTTGTAATGGTAAAATATTAAAGGACACGTTATTAAAAATTATAAATAAAACTTTTGTGAAAAAAAAATTAAATTTAAAATAACTGGACTATAAGTAACACTATAAACTAGACTATAGACTAGACTATAGACTAAACTATAGACTAGACTATAGACTAGACTATAGACTAGACTATAGACTAGACTATAGACTAGACTATAGACTAGACTATAGACTAGACTATAGACTAGACTATAGACTAGACTATAGACTAGACTATAGACTAGACTATAGACTAGACTATAGACTAGACTATAGACTAGACTATAGACTAGACTATAGACTAGACTATAGACTAGACTATAGACTAGACTATAGACTAGACTATAGACTAGACTATAGACTAGACTATAGACTAGTCTATAGACTAGACTATAGACTAGACTATAGACTAGACTATAGACTAGACTATAGACTAGACTATAGACTAGACTATAGACTAGACTATAGACTAGACTATAGACTAGACTATAGACTAGACTATAGACTAGACTATAGACTAGACTATAGACTAGACTATAGACTAGACTATAGACTAGACTATAGACTAGACTATAGACTAGACTATAGACTAGACTATAGACTAGACTATAGACTAGACTATAGACTAGACTATAGACTAGACTATAGACTAGACTATAGACTAGACTATAGACTAGACTAGACTAGACTAGACTAGACTATAGACTAGACTATAGACTAGACTATAGACTAGACTATAGACTAGACTATAGACTAGACTATAGACTAGACTATAGACTAGACTATAGACTAGACTATAGACTAGACTAGACTAGACTAGACTATAGACTAGACTATAGACTAGACTATAGACTAGACTATAGACTAGACTATAGACTAGACTATAGACTAGACTATAGACTAGACTATAGACTAGACTATAGACTAGACTATAGACTAGACTATAGACTAGACTATAGACTAGACTATAGACTAGACTATAGACTAGACTATAGACTAGACTATAGACTAGACTATAGACTAGACTATAGACTAGACTATAGACTAGACTATAGACTAGACTATAGACTAGACTATAGACTAGACTATAGACTAGACTATAGACTAGACTATAGACTAGACTAGACTAGACTATAGACTAGACTATAGACTAGACTATAGACTAGACTATAGACTAGACTATAGACTAGGCTATAGACTAGACTAGACTAGACTAGACTATACTAGTAGACTAGACTAGACTATAGACTAGACTATAGACTAGACTATAGACTAGACTATAGACTAGACTATAGACTAGACTAGAAATCATTTATAGAATTGTAACCTTTACTTACCCAAAATCGGCAATTTTGACAGTTCTATCTGGAGCCACTAAAACATTTCGAGCTGCTAAATCACGATGCACTACTTTATTTTTGGCCAAAAAGTCCTGGAATTATATAAAATTATATAAATCTACACATATGGTTAACAGATTATTTACTCACCATACCAACAGCCACTTGTCGAGCAATATTAAGTAAATCTCCACAAGATAGTGGCACTCGATTGCAGTGACTTGATACGAAAACATCCTTTTCAGTAACATGAGATTTTCTCGTTTTGCTCAGTTTGCCAGGAACTTTTGTTTTATCGGGATTTTTACGTGACTCCGAGGAAAAAATTGAAAAATATGATTTATTTTCAATTGCGATATTTAATTTATTTAATGCGTTTTGCTTCTGTTCTTTCATTTTGCAATCACAATTTTTAATTTCAATTGTTGTGTCACTGCTGATTGTATTTACAGGTTGTTCCTGTTGCTGTTGTTGCTTAAGTATACGTTCTAATACTTCATTATCTTTAACGATATCAGTGGCATTAATATTTTTAATAATTCCAACATTACATTTACAGGAATTTGTACAAAAACCATGGTAACCATATGATTTATTTTCTGCTGCAGGAGATAAAATATTTGGTTTGGAGGTGGTTTCATTTAAATCTTCAATATGTTGAGAGTTTAATTTCTGTAAATTAATGTCGTTGTGGTTATTTGTTCCATTAGTGTTTGATGAGGAGGTGACATTTATTTCATTGTATTTTGTTTTAAAATGTTCTATGGCATCAGCATTCTTATCTTTACTTTTAAGTTCCATTAACTTTTCCTTGTCCTCGTCATGTGGCTGATATTTGATTTGATCTGTCTCAAACGACTCGTTCAAACTATTGCTACTGCTTCGTGAGTGCAATTGTGCTGATGAATCCTGACTACTGCTATCACCTTGATTTAATTCAATATAAGAAATTGTTGCTCCTAAATGTTGTCTTTTTATTTGTAATTCATGCAAAAAATGCCATTCGTCTCTGGAAATAGAAATCAAATTGCAATAATTTTTATGCCAATAAATTCTAACAGATAAATAGTTGTGGGCACGAAAAGCTGTCTAGAATTTCATAGGAATTTGTTTTAAATTTCAAAGAACTTCTTTAAAAAAATTTCATTTGAAACTTTATAAATTTAACTTTTAAACATTTGTTTTCAACTTTCCATATAAACGTGAAATCCTATTAAATTTTAATTTAGCAATTAAACATTTCCATTTGCTGAAGCCACAGCAAAGATAAATTTATATTTTGCAATATTTAAATAAGATTTTATACAATACTTTTTTTTAAACCATTTTTTTAATTATATTTTATTTGTATTTGTTTAGGCTCAGCAAAAGTATGTGTTTAAATGTTTCTCTATGACATGTACTTGTGCAAATATGTGGCGGAAATAACGGTTTTTATTAAACACGTTTTATTTTGTTTGCTAACCATAAATTCTAAACAGGGTGTGCTGAAAAGTTCTCCCAATTTCTTTCTTTAAACTTTTATTTTAGAGAATATTTAAAACCTTAAAAGACCAAACTATAGTTAAGTTTAAAACTAGACTATAGATTGGTTTATAAACAAGACTATAGTCACAATTACAGTCCCGATCATAGAGTTGACTTTAGTCAAGATTATAGACTAGAATAAAAACTAGGTTATAGTCAAGACTATAGTCTATAGAGTTGACTATAGTAAAGAATAAAGACTAGACTATTGTCAAGACTATAGACTAGACTACAGTTTAAAGTTTAAACTAGATTATAGTCAAGATTATCGACTAAACTATAGTCAAAAGTATATAAGATTTTATATAGTATAGTCAGCACTATACATTAGGCTACAATCAAAAGTAACAAGTAAGAGTGTTATATTCGGCTATGCCGAATCTTATATACCCACCATCAAACCTCGTTTGACTAGAATGAAACTTACTTATGTCGAATTTCATCTATATACTCGTATATTTAGGCCAGTTATAAGCGTTAAAGTAATTTTCTGAAGGGCACCTTATCAATCCTCTAGCTATTTCCATTCGGACTCTATCGTGCTTTCAACAGACATACAGACAGACGGATTGATTTAAAAGCAAAACTATAGTTTAAATTACAGACTCGATTATAAAGTTGACTTTAGTCAAGATTATAGACTAGAATATATACTAGGTTATTGTCAAGACTATAGTCTATAGAGTTGACTAAAGTAAAGAATAAAGACTATAGACTAGACTACAGTTTAAAGTTTAAACTAGATTATAGTCAAGATTATCGACTAGACTATAGTCAAAAATATATACGATTTTATATGGTACTATAAATTAGACTATAATCAAAAGTAAAAACTAAACTATAGGCTAAACTGTAGCCATGAGTGTAGACTAAATCATAGACAAGTTAAAATAATAATCTCGATTAATCGCTTAATTAAAATAATTCAGAATATATAAACTCTTAAAGGTCCCAAGGTATGTAGCAATTCCAAACGTAAGTACATTTCAATTATTTACTCTTTTTGTAAAACCCATTTACCTTAAAAAATTCAACAGGTTCCCAAAACTACAGTACTCAGTGACTAACATCATTTCACTGCTAAAACGTGTACAATGACCAATTATACCAACAATATTGGGATGCTTTTCAACAGATTTCATAACTTCTATCTCACGACGAAAAGCGTATATGTCATCAGCAGAGGGATGATCTGGAAATGATTTAAAAGTAAAATACAACATTAATAATATATATATACATACCTGCATACAAACAGATACAATCATAAGTATAAGTAATTATAAACAATCTATTTTATATATTTATTTTATTTATATTTAATTTACCTTTTAACATTTTAACAGCCACCTCTTGCGTGGTGCCCAATTTTTTATCTTTATATAGACCAAGTTTTACCAAACCAAAGGCGCCTTCACCCAGCACTTGATACAGTATCAAATCGTTACGATTAATTTCCATGTCATCATCATAAAGCAAACTTTCTTGTACTTTGTTTTCATATGTCAAATCATCGGCATTTCCCTTGAGATGTGTAACGAAATCAAAAGTATCTTTGGGATCGATGGGTGCTTTCTTTTCCAGTTCCTTGGGGTGGTAAAAGAAATATTTTGTTTAGTAAAAATTCTATATAGTGCAATCTATAGTCTATAATCTAGCCTATAGTGTAGTCTATGGTCTAATCTATAGTTTAGCCTATAGTGTAGTCTATGGTATAATCTATAGTCTAGTCTAGCCTATAGTCTAGTCTATAGTCTATAATCTAGCCTATAGTGTAGTCTATGGTCTAATCTATAGACTATAGTCTAGTCTATAGTCAAGTCTATAGTCTAGTCTATAGTCAAGTCTATAGTCTAGTCTATAGTCTAGTCTATAGTCTAGTCTATAGTCTAGTCTATAGTCTAGTCTAGTCTATAGTCTAGTCTATAGTCTAGTCTATAGTCTAGTCTATAGTCTAGTCTATAGTCTAGTCTATAGTCTAGTCTATAGTCTAGTCTATAGTCTAGTCTAGTCTATAGTCTAGTCTATAGTCTAGTCTAGTCTATAGTCTAGTCTATAGTCTAGTCTATAGTCTAGTCTATAGTCTAGTCTATAGTCTAGTCTATAGTCTAGTCTATAGTCTAGTCTATAGTCTAGTCTATAGTCTAGTCTATAGTCTAGTCTATAGTCTAGTCTATAGTCTAGTCTATAGTCTAGTCTATAGTCTAGTCTATAGTCTAGTCTATAGTCTAGTCTATAGTCTAGTCTATAGTCTAGTCTATAGTCTAGTCTATAGTCTAGTCTATAGTCTAGTCTATAGTCTAGTCTATAGTCTATAGTCTAGTCTATAGTCTAGTCTATAGTCTAGTCTAGTAGTCTAGTCTATAGTCTAGTCTATAGTCTAGTCTATAGTCTAGTCTATAGTCTAGTCTATAGTCTAGTCTATAGTCTAGTCTATAGTCTAGTCTATAGTCTAGTCTATAGTCTAGTCTATAGTCTAGTCTATAGTCTAGTCTATAGTCTAGTCTATAGTCTAGTCTATAGTCTAGTCTATAGTCTAGTCTATAGTCTAGTCTATAGTCTAGTCTATAGTCTAGTCTATAGTCTAGTCTATAGTCTAGTCTATAGTCTAGTCTATAGTCTAGTCTATAGTCTAGTCTATAGTCTAGTCTATAGTCTAGTCTATAGTCTAGTCTATAGTCTAGTCTATACTATAGTCTAGTCTATAGTCTAGTCTATAGTCTAGTCTATAGTCTAGTCTAGTCTAGTCTAAGTCTAGTCTATAGTCTAGTCTATAGTCTAGTCTATAGTCTAGTCTACGTCTAGTCTATAGTTAGTCTATAGTCTAGTCTATAGTCTAGTCTCTAGTCTAGTCTATAGTCTAGTCTAGTCTAGTCTATAGTCTCGTTATAGTCTAGTCTATAGTCTAGTCTATAGTCTAGTCTATAGTCTAGTCTATAGTCTAGTTATCGTCTAGTCTATAGTCTAGTCTATAGTCTAGTCTATAGGTCTAGTCTAGTCTATAGTCTAGTCTAGTCTAGTTATAGTCTAGTCTATAGGTCTAGTCTATAGTCTAGTCTATAGTTAGTCTATAGTCTAGTCTATAGTTCTAGTCTATAGTCTAGTCTATAGTCTAGTCTATAGTCTAGTCTTAGTCTAGTCTATAGTCTAGTCTATAGTCTAGTCTATAGTCTAGTCTATAGTCTAGTCTATAGTTAGTCTATAGTCTAGTCTATAGTTAGTCTATAGTCTAGTCTATAGTCTAGTCTATAGTCTAGTCTATAGTCTAGTCTATAGTCTAGTCTATAGTCTAGTCTATAGTCTAGTCTCTATAGTCTAGTCTATAGTCTAGTCTATAGTCTAGTCTATAGTCTAGTCTATAGTCTAGTCTATAGTCTAGTCTATAGTCTAGTCTATAGTCTAGTCTAGTCTAGTCTATAGTCTAGTCTATAGTCTAGTCTATAGTCTAGTCTATAGTCTAGTCTATAGTCTAGTCTATAGTCTAGTCTATAGTCTAGTCTATAGTCTAGTCTATAGTCTAGTCTATAGTCTAGTCTATAGTCTAGTCTATAGTCTAGTCTATAGTCTAGTCTATAGTCTAGTCTATAGTCTAGTCTATAGTCTAGTCTATAGTCTAGTCTATAGTCTAGTCTATAGTCTAGTCTATAGTCTAGTCTATAGTCTAGTCTAGTCTAGTCTATAGTCTAGTCTATAGTCTAGTCTATAGTCTAGTCTATAGTCTAGTCTATAGTCTAGTCTATAGTCTAGTCTATAGTCTAGTCTATAGTCTAGTCTATAGTCTAGTCTATAGTCTAGTCTATAGTTTATATTCTAGTTTATAGTTTGGTGTACTATACTGTCTAGTTTATTAACTATTGCAATTTAATAAAAAATTGTAATTTACTTAAATTTTAAATTATATTAATAAAACTTACCTCAAAATATTTACATCTCTTCTGATAGCGTTTCAGTTTAGCTCTACGATGGTAAATAATGAATATTGTTAGAGACAAAATGGCAACACAAAATATGGGTGCTAATATGACTGCAATCAGTTTTACAATAGGATTTTTCTCTGAAAAACAAATAAAATAATAGCACATGTTTTTATTTCATTACTGGTGAAATTGAGTTTGTTGTGTTAAAAAACAAATATACAATTGCAATTTTGTGCAGATTGTGTAATAAGTAGGGTGACAATGATAAAAAAATGATTTAAATCGTTCGATATCCTTTTTGATATAATCGAAATTAAATAGAAAAGTTTATATCTATATCATAATTATTATTTTTTATAATATTTACATAAAAAGTTTTTCTTTAAAACAAAAAATCCAAAGTTTACTTTGTAGAGCCACCCTAATAAGTATGTATATGTATGGTACATTTACTTGCATGTTATATATTAAAGTAAACTATATAAATGTACATACATGTGTACATATGTACCTATATCGTTAGCTCAAAAATAAAAATTGGTATAAGATTTTTAAAGTACTGATTTCAAATTTTGTATATGTTTTAAAACATATCAAATATGGTACAAGGGGGATCACTAGCCATAGAGGCATATCTGCCAACACCGAATAACATATGTTTTTTAAATGAATAAAAGTATAAGAGTAATAAACTATTCAAATATCTAAAATAACAAAAAATTCTAAAATATGTTCTATGTTTTTATTAGAAAACATTATTTTAAAGGCCTTTGGTCCACCCTTTTATTATATTTATAAATTATTTATATATATTTTGTTACTTTTGTAAAATTAACAAAATTCTCATTAAGGATTCTAGCATTTTTGTTAGCGCTAAATTCAAAATGAAATATTTTACTTTTGTTACAACAACAAAGATAAACTTATAAAGGTTTTACTGTATTCACAATATGTAAGTATGTACTTTGTTTAAATTACCCGGAATATGAACTACAGTTTTTATTATATCTGTTAAAGATGTTGTTGTATGTCCACCCCTGGTGTATGCTGTAAGGCTCACTTCATAAAATACACCATAGAAAGTTATTTGTGGTATGTAGAAATTATGAACATCCTGTAGAAAAGAAATAGAAAAAAATATATATAATTAATTTTACTGCTTACAGAATTAACTTTGTAAAAATTAACAGAAATAACTTTTTGTAAACAAATTAAAAGAATCCGTTTATGATTTTGTTTGGTTTCTAACGATTTAGATGGTGGATATAAAATTAATCAAAGTTAGTAAGAAATTAAATTTACACTTAAATACAAGAAAATTACACAGGCCCACAAATGTTTTAAATACATTTGCCATTAACATTTCACATGACATCAAATTCATTTAATATTTGATTGATAAATAAATTATCAACATTAGTTCTAAAATGAATGGTTATATGAAAAATCAAATTGAAATTGATACGTACATATTTGGTAATGGAAATACATATGTATTTTTTTATACACAAACGATTTCCTCTACATGTTTAACCTGCAATTTAGAGGTTTTGGTATTCGAACATATTCTCAAATAAATATTGTTAAAGCGAAACAATTTACTATTGTAGTTCTGTCTGTGGGTGGGTTTGGATTACCACTAGAGATTCTGGTCTGTTTCAGTACAACTTGTGTATGGTCATTGTTACCTTGTGTGATTAAGACTAAGTTCGAATTTTGTTATAATGTATATAAATGTGGTAAGAAAGTATAGACGATTATGCCCGACCGATATGGTATCCTACAATGGCGTGCTTAGTATGGGACAATGTTCTGTAAAGGTTAGTTCCTAACAATTACTTCAAAAATAGTCTGTTACGTATTTATGTTGGATTTCACAGACCTAAAGTTTTTAAGCTGTACTTAATCCGAATCTTTTTCTCATAATTTGTCTATAACATCAGGTTTACAAATTATTCTAGCCAATTTATAGTATAACAGGACTATCGAATGGCATAACATGTTAGAGATTTTAGTGATTAGATAAATAGATATATAGATAGATAGATAGATAGATAGATAGATAGATAGATAGATAGATAGATAGATAGATAGATAGATAGATAGAGAGATAGATAGATAGATAGATAGATAGATAGATAGATAGATAGATAGATAGATAGATAGATAGATAGATAGATAGATAGATAGATAGATAGATAGATAGATAGATAGATAGATAGATAGATAGATAGATAGATAGATAGATAGATAAATAGATAGACAGATAGATAATTAGATAGATAGATAGATAGATAGATAGATAGATAGATAGATAGATAGATAGATAGATTGATAGATAGATAGATAGATAGATAGATAGATAGATAGATAGATAGATAGATAGATAGATAGATAGATAGATAGATAGATAGATAGATAGATAGATAGATAGATAGATAGATAGATAGAGAGATAGATAGATAGATAGATAGATAGATGGATAGATAGATAGATAGATAGATAGATAGATAGATAGATAGATAGATAGAGATAGATAGATAGATAGATAGATAGATAGATAGATAGATAGATAGATAGATAGATAGATAGATAGATAGATAGATAGATAGATAGATAGATAGATAGATAGATAGATAGATAGATAGATAGATAGATAGATAGATAGATAGATAGATAGATAGATAGATAGATAGATAGATAGATAGATAGATAGATAGATAGATAGATAGATAGATAGATAGATAGATAGATAGATAGATAGATAGATAGATAGATAGATAGATAGATAGATAGATAGATAGGTAGGTAGGTAGGTAGCTAGTAAGTAAGTTAGTTAATAAGTTTGTTAGTTAGTTAGTTAGTTAGTTAGTTAGTTAGTTAGTTAGTTAGTTAGTTAGTTAGTTAGTTAGTTAGTTAGTTAGTTAGTTAGTTAGTTAGTTAGTTAGTTAGTTAGTTAGTTAGTTGGAGGCACACAACTAAATATTTATTAGTAACTCTGTTCATTTTGGAGAGGACTATTATATGGGGGTTACGTGAAATCATGGACTGACTTCAAGCGTACAAATAGATTCCGTCTTAGGACAAACATTTGTCGAACTCATTTCAAGATTTACATGGGCAAACGGAGAGATCTATTCGGAAAATGGTTAGGATTCTATTGGTACAAATATCAGGACATACCTATAATACTTTCTCCACTATAGTGGTGAAGGGTATAAATATACTTAGTTATATCCGATAGATGGCTAATTTTTAGATTTTTGTCAAATTGTAAATATGTGTTGGATAATATAGACCTCTAGCAAGACTACAATCTTCAGAATATAGAATATTGTTATTTTTTATAGAATGGTAAAAAGGCAAAGGCAATAATCATCACTTTTCATTTTTGAAAATTTTAACCAAAATCACATAGAATTTTGCTGAAAATAGTTTATGTAAATTTTTTTAAAGAATTTTCTACTTTGTAGATATTTTCCGATTAAGTTTGGAGTTTTCTCTCATTAAATTTTCTTAACATTAAATCTATTTAATTCCAATTTCTTGGATATGAAAGTGTGCTAAGGTAAATTAATTATTTCCTTTATTATTTTAAGTGACATTGTATTAAACAGCTTTTGGCATTCTTATTTTTTTTTTTTTTTTGTAGAAAGTATAAAACTTGAAATATTTAACCCAAATTATATGTAATACCTATCTAAACAGCTATTTAAACATTTAAAAAAATTAAAATATTTTGTTCTATGTAATCAATTTAAGACTATTGATGTGTATGTAAACAATTCTTATAATTATGTAATTCAATGAATTATTATTAATATCTTAATAATTACACATGAAAACACTTCAAAGTAGACTGTAGAATATTCCTTATTCCTTAACAGCTAAAATCAATTGCTTCTTACTTACCTTAGGTAATTCATATACTGTTATATTTCCTTGTTCTGATAAATCCTGTATACGAAGCGAATAATTGTCGGGCAAGTGGTTGGGTATAAGCCAACTTATGTTTAATGAATAGATATTTTTATCCAAAGCCATTTGTTCTAATTGCAAATTTTGAGGAGCTTCAGGAGCTATAGAAAATAAAGGAAACATTAAAACAATTATACTTAATAAATGTTATATTTAATAATTTAAACAAATTTAATAAATTTTATATTTTTCAATAAATTTAATACAAAAAATTAGTAAAAAACAAATGAAAGTTTCTCATTTGTTTTTATTTAATGATAAAAACAGCTATCGTTTAAAAAATTAACTAAAAAACACTTCTGAGGTTGATTTTTACACATTTTTAACTTGTGTTATTTGCTAACCAAAAAATTTTCCGCATTTTTCCCCACTCCCTTCCACATTTTTTTTTGCTTAGATACCTTTATGTTGTATGGTAATAATAATTATATACTCATCGTAAAGCTAATATACAAAGGACTCTATTTAAAATTTAAAAATAATTTTAAAAGAGAAACTTGGAATTTCTATAAATAAAAAACTTTCTATGAAATTGCTTAATTTTATATTTCGTAGAAAAGTTTTTGTTAAAAAAATACTTAATTATTGAACATATTTATTTAAAACTAGCTTATTACCCGCTACTTTGTTAGCGAGGGTTTTTATAGAATGAGAAATATGTTGGCTCTTCATTTAGCAAGGAAAAAATAATATGTTTTACAAAGATTACAAATTTTTAAATATTGGTAATTCCCTAATTTGAAGAAATGATGATTGTATATGTGTACTCAATTTTAAGTACTTAAAAGTCCACTTTTATAGATTCTCATTTACGCCGTGCTCTATATGCTTAATTTCATGTTTTTTAGGTTGAATTTTATAGAAAACTCAAAAAATACCAATCGAAGGACGAAAAAGTGCCAAAAAGTTCACTTTTATAGATTCTCATTAACTAAGGCCTCTGCATGCTTAATTTCATGTTTCTAGGTTTAATTTTATGGAAAACTCAAAAAGTACCAGTCGAAGTACGATAAAGTACCAAAAAGTCCCCTTTTATAGATTCTAATTTACTCCAGGCTCTACATGCTTAATTTTATGTTTCTAGGTTAAATTTTATAAAAACTGAAAAAAGTACCAGTCGAAGAATGAAAAAGTACACAAAAATCTCCTTTTATAGATTCTTATTTACTCCGGGCTCTATATGCTTAATTTCATGTTTCTAGGTTCAATTTTATAGAAAAATCAAAAAGTACCAGTCGAAGAACGAAAAAGTACCAAAAAGTCCCCTTATATATTCCCATTAACTAAGGGCTCTGCATGCTTAATTTCATGTTTCTAGGTTTAATTTGATAGAAAACTCAAAAAGTACCAGTCGAAGGACGAAAAAGTACCAAAAAGTCCCCTATTATAGATTCTCATTCACTCTGGGCTCTACATGCTTAAATTCATGTTTCTAGGTTAAATTTTATAGAAAACTCAAAAAGTACCAGTCGAAAGACGAAAAAGTTCCAAAAAGTCCCCTTTTAAAGATTCTCATTTACTCCGAGCTCTACATGCTTAATTTCATGTTTCTAGGTTAAATTTTATAGAAAACTCAAAAAGTACCAGTCGAAAGACGAAAAAGTACCAAAAAGTCCCCTTTTATAGATTCTCATTTACTAAGGGCTCTACATGCTTAATTTCATGTTTCTAGGTTAAATTTTATAGAAAACTCAAAAAGTACCAGTCGAAGGATGAAAAAGTACCAAAAAGTCCCCTTTTATAGATTCTCATTTACTAAGGGCTCTACATGCTTAATTTCATGTTTCTAGGTTAAATTTTATAGAAAACTCAAAAAGTACCAGTGGAAGGACGAAAAAGTACCAAAAAGTCCCCTTTTATAGATTCTCATTTACTAAGGGCTCTACATGCTTAATTTCATGTTTCTAGGTTAAATTTTATAGAAAACTCACAAAGTATCAGTCGAAAGACGAAAAAGTACCAAAAAGTCCCCTTTTATAGATTCTCATTTACTAAGGGCTCTACATGCTTAATTTCATGTTTCTAGGTTAAATTTTATAGAAAACTCACAAAGTACCAGTCGAAAGACGAAAAAGTACCAAAAAGTCCCCTATTATAGATTCTCATTCACTCTGGGCTCTACATGCTTAAATTCATGTTTCTAGGTTAAATTTTATAGAAAACTCAAAAAGTACCAGTCGAAAGACGAAAAAGTTCCAAAAAGTCCCCTTTTAAAGATTCTCATTTACTCCGAGCTCTACATGCTTAATTTCATGTTTCTAGGTTAAATTTTATAGAAAACTCAAAAAGTACCAGTCGAAAGACGAAAAAGTACCAAAAAGTCCCCTTTTATAGATTCTCATTTACTAAGGGCTCTACATGCTTAATTTCATGTTTCTAGGTTAAATTTTATAGAAAACTCAAAAAGTACCAGTCGAAGGATGAAAAAGTACCAAAAAGTCCCCTATTATAGATTCTCATTTACTCTGGGCTCTACATGCTTAAATTCATGTTTCTAGGTTAAATTTTATAGAAAACTCAAAAAGTACCAGTCGAAAGACGAAAAAGTTCCAAAAAGTCCCCTTTTATAGATTCTCATTTACTCCGGGCTCTACATGCTTAATTTCATGTTTCTAGGTTAAATTTTATAGAAAACTCACAAAGTATCAGTCGAAAGACGAAAAAGTACCAAAAAGTCCCCTTTTATAGATTCTCATTTACTAAGGGCTCTACATGCTTAATTTCATGTTTCTAGGTTAAATTTTATAGAAAACTCAAAAAGTACCAGTCGAAAGACGAAAAAGTACCAAAAAGTCCCCTTTTATAGATTCTCATTTACTAAGGGCTCTACATGCTTAATTTCATGTTTCTAGGTTAAATTTTATAGAAAACTCAAAAAGTACCAGTCGAAAGACGAAAAAGTACCAAATAGTTCCCTTTTATAGATTCTCATTTACTAAGGGCTCTACATGCTTAATTTTATGTTTCTAGGTTAAATTTTATAGAAAACTCAAAAAGTACCAGTCGAAGGACGAAAAAGTACCAAAAAGTCCCCTTTTATAGATTCTCATTAACTAAGGCCTCCGCATGCTTAATTTCATGTTTCTAGGTTAAATTTTATAGAAAACTCAAAAAGTACCAGTCGAAGGACGAAAAAGTACCAAAAAGTCCCTTTATAGATTCTCATTTACTCCGGGCTCTACATGCTTAATTTCATGTTTCTAGGTTAAATTTTATAGAAAACTCAAAAAGTACCAGTCGAAGGACGAAAAAGTACCAAAAAGTCCCCTTTTATAGATTCTCATTTACTCCGGTCTCTACATGTTTAATTTCATGTTTCTAGGTTCAATATTATAGAAAATTCAAAAGAACGAAAAAGTACCAAAAAGTCCCATTTTATAGATTCTCATTTACTCCGAGCTCTACATGCTTAATTTCATGTTTCTAGGTTTAATTTTAAAGAAAACTTAAAAAAGTACCTGTGTAGAACGAAAAAGTAGCGAAAAGTCCCTTTATTATTAATTTCATGTTTCTATTTCAATATCATAGAAAACTCAAAAAGGACCAGTTGGAGAATGAAAAGTACCAAAAAATATCACTTGGTACCGGGGTTCCAAATAACACAACATTAGGATATGCAGTGTTTTTAAATTTAAAAATTTTATCTAAATTCGATCATTGTGGTTGAATAAAATCAAATTTCCCATTTTTACCCCTTTTGGTACTTTTTTCCTCCCCATTAACGAAATAAAAATTCTATTCCAAAAAGTTGCAACATCGTAGTGGGAGCCCCTTATTATGTATTCATATGTATAAGTTAATAAACCAAAAACAATGTTTTATGAAAAAAGTACCAAAAATAGGTACAATTTTAACCCCTTAAACGTCCGAATATCCAAAAAGTACTAAATTCATATTTTTATTTTTTCGTTAAGTTATGAAGGAGTCAAAAATATTTTTTGAATGTGCACTGGTTTAAAAGATACATGGGGTGCGAAAAAAGTACCAAAATACAGTTTTTACCCGTTTATTCCCTAAAGGGGCCGAATTTTAAAAAAGTACCAGACACCTGTCCGTTTATTTTTTAAATGAACGGCGATAAGCTTTAAACTGTTTTTGTATCTTTTCTAGTTTAGGAGATATAAGGTTACCGAATTTACCCGTTTTTACCCTTTTTTACCCCCTAAACATTCGAATTTCCAAAAATCCCGTCTTAGTGGATCTATTTGGCGGGAGACCAACCTCCTGTCCAAATTTCAGCTCTTTAGCTTCAACCGTTTAGGCTGTGCGATGATGAATCAGTCAGTGAATCAGTAAGTCAGTCAGTCAGTCAGTCAGTCAGTCAGTAACGTTAGAATTTTATATATATAGATAATTTACCTTTAATTTAACTTACCACAAATATTAAAATTATAATTATGCCATTCAACACATGATGGTACCGTAAATGTTTTCCAAAACAATTCACTTTCTCTCGTATTCTTTGTATTGCTAGCCCTAATGCCCACTTTATACACCGATGAAAAGGTTAAATTTTCTAATTGATGTTTATACAGTTGACGTGG